GAAAACTTTCGTTGCAAAGCGTGAATGAAGTGCCAAACACCAGCCATCTAGTGTCCCTATAGATGTAGTTGAGAGTACATGCAACCTTTTACGTTGCTCTTAATTGTGTTCCAAATCGAGGACAACGGTGTGCACCATAGTGAACCGGGATTACGTCAGAGTTGGGTTGCGTATTTTAGAGCCGTGCACATGTCAGGCTATGCTAGCAATAGACTCCCAGCCTTAAGTTTGTTTTGGTTGTGAAGTTGAAAATCAAAGTCAAAGTCATCCCTTTTTATAATGAAAATGAAAACAACTCTAATGAGAACAACGTCACTGCAAGCCCGCTCACCAAAGTTACAGAAGGCGAACAAGCAAATTAATCTCCGAGCCACCCCCCTCAAGGAAACAGACTTTTGGAGCCAACCGATAGCCAACTCTCTGTCGTGAGAATACAGCTTTCTCGTTGGCATACTGTTTGGCGATTACATTAATTCTCGGCTTATTGGAAGGGTTTGTACTGTCATTGCGTGGGCACAGAAGACGAGGGAAAGGGGAAGGTAGGGGGGGGGTGGGAGGAGAGGGGCAGAACGTGAAGACGAAAGCAGACGACAGAACATGGCTAGAGAGCAGGAAAGGAGAAGAAATGTTTCCGTCGCTGTCAAGTTTCGAATCCGGGACCTGTTGAATGAAAGGCGAACATCGTACCTTTAAAAAAAAAACGTTGACAGTGATAGAAATCTTTCAAAAGTTTGTATTTACAGGTAAACATTAATAATTCCTACTTAAGCTAGAGGATGTTTTTCTATGTGTGCTATGTTAGTCACACACACGCTCTTTGTAGTAATATTTTCTTCTGAAATATTTTGTTTCCGAAAGCTACCCGACTTTTCATTGGCACGCTTTACCGATTGAATCCGACAACAATCTCTGTCGCACAGTTCGGTGAAAAGAAACTCATGGGGATGATCTCCAAAAGCTCATTCACACATTTATTTCTTTATCCCACACCACGCGCACGCGAAATCTAGACCTATCAAAAGAAATTACGCGCTCGATTTGATTTGGTAGACGAGCTGCGAATCCTTTAGGACTTGCTGTAAGCCAGACCACGGTTTCGGATGTACGGTTAATTTGGTTCTTTTCCTCGTTTGAGCTATCTTCGTAATCATCAACCAAGTTGTTGTTTCCCTTTTCGTTTATTTGTTTGTTCGCTTATTTGTTTCAGGGGACAGGAGGGGTTGTGTACTCTTGAATTCTGAAGTGACGCGTTTTTTTGTGTTTTCCTTTTCTGTTCGTTTCTCGCTTTTTCTGGGGGTTTTACTATTCTAATTCCCACTCTCTCTCTCTCTTACCCCACCTACGCCGCGACCCTCCCACACCCATCTCTTTCTCTCTCTCTCTCTCTCTCTCTCTCTCTCTCTCTCTCTCTCTCTCTCTCTCACACACACACACACACACACACACACACACACACACACACACACACACACTCTCTCTATCTATTTATATATCTATCTATCTATTTATTTATCTATCTATCTCTCTATCTATCTATCTATCTCTCTATCTATCTATCTATCTATCTATCTATCTATCTATCTATATCTACAAATTGTAACGAACATTCATGTTTACAAATACTCAAGTACTCCTTCTGACAGATATTATATATATATATATATATATATATATATATATATGTGTGTGTGTGTGTGTGTGTGTGTGTGTGTGTGTGTGTGTGTGTGTGTGTATGTATGAATACGATATATTATTATGTATATTATTATAAAATATTATTGACCAAAATCTTATTTCTAGAAGCTTCGAAGAGGGAAACAAATAGGGTTATCCTCCAAACGCAGCTATCTTCTGATCTGGGAGCATCGTTCGCTCAATTGGTATCTTGCTGAACAATGGAGCGGTTGGCCTTGGTTCAAATCACCAATGGGGAGTTATAAACTTGGATTGTTCGGAGGGAGTTCTAAACTTCTCCATCCATCTGGCTTCGTCATATTGGAGATAGACCTTACATTCGGAAGTTCTCCCTCTTACATTCTAGTCCTACAATAATGTCAAAACTACGCGTCAAACCTATACAATGCAAATGACAATCTTCTGATCCCACGAGATATCAAAACGTGTGCGTCCGAAAATTATCACCTGAACAAACTACGCTAGGTATTGTTGTTGTTGTGCTAGGGATTACACATAATGACAGGGAAGAAAGGAATACCGAGTGAAATAATGTACAATGAGTAATACATAAGAATGACAAGGAAATATTAAAATAGCATACCAGTCCTAACGACAGGGCTAGAGATTCGTTATTTGGATCGTTATTTGTTATTATTATTATTTATTATTATTATTTTATTTATTTATTTATTTATTTATTTTTGGTAAAGTGTTTTACGGCGCTCGCAACTGCATAAGGTCATATGAGCGCGCGGGACACACATAATATTTTCAGTTGGTAGGAAATTTTGAATTTTGCCCGGGTGGCGGCCGAAGCCTACTCTTATCGATTTTAGACCACCAAGGGATCTTTAACGTGCGCAACTTGCTCACGGGCCCTCCGAGATATTTCGCCCTTGTCCGAGAAGGCTAGGTGTAGATCTTTCCTAACAGAAGATCAGGGGTGTGGCTGAAAGACAGCAGTAAGAAGAAGCGAAAAATAAGCAGTAGAATGGTTGTAGAAAGAATCAGGAGCCCAGAGGAGGAGGCAAAGGAGGTGAGGGGGTGGGGGCAGAAAGAGGAGACGAAAGCAGACGACAGAACTTTGCTAGAGAGCAGGAAATGAGGTGAAAGGAGACACTTTTAGAGAAGAAAATATTTTGGTCGCTACCCGGATTCGAACACGGGACCTTTGGAATGAGAGGCCAACACCTTAACCTCTAGGCCACGAGAGCCCCCTTATTATTATTATTATTATTATTATTATTAGTAGTAGTAGTAGTAGTAGTAGTAGTAGTAGTATTATTATTATTATCACTATTATTGTTGTTGTTATTGTTGATATTGTTTCTGTTGCTGTTGCTGTTGTTGTTGTTGCAGTTATTGTTGGTTGTTGTAGTGGTAAGTGTTTTTGTTTTGTTTTGATATGTTTTGTTTTGGGTTTGTTTTTGTTGGGTTTGGTTTTGTTGGGTTTTTTTAGGAGGGGGGGGGGGGGG